AAAACACTGACTTGGGAAGGATTAAAGAGAAAATAGGGAATTTTGAAAAATCACCACCATACTTTATAGTCCCCAGAAGAAATCCAAAAGGCAACCTGGACTTCAACCTTTTTATTTTCTTAGTTCTTTCTTTCAGAATTTATCAGTACTATGCTAAGAAATTCCTTTTGGGTTTTCTGAAACATAGCACATTGAACAGCAGGCATGTGATTCACTAGCCCATAGTTGACAGCAACAGTACTACCACAACAAAAAAATCTAAATCTACGTGCATGACAAAGATGTGACAGAAAACTAGCAAAACATGAAACAGAAGTTTGGAGATAAATTTAAAGACTTCAGGTCATCATGATCAGTTTGGGTTGTTTTTTTTTTACTACTGAGTAATGAGTGCAATACGGAGGCAAGATGAAGGCAGAGACAGGTACCTGAAACAATGATTTAAAGAAAAGCAAAAAAGGTTATTAAAAAAAAAAAAGACAATACATTGACACTAACCCTGCGAACTACTGAAGTAATCCACAGACAATTTTTAATGTAAAATCAATAGTTTATTGCCATGCTACAATTTATTTTTTTTTTTCAAATGAAGTTGGCACTGGTAAAGAGGGGAAAATGTTTCATAATACATAACACATTTTTTAAAAATGCACATTTGGTAAGCTTTCTCAATAATGGCAGCTTAAAACAAGTGAAATTAATTTTTTAAGATTAATGTGGAATGACATAAAAATACACTCTTTCTGCATAGTATAAGAAATACGGAATGTTTGTAAAAACAAATTCATTTAACAGGGAAAATTACTTGAAATTTTATAAACAATTTGGCAATGGTACTCCCACTGTTTAGACTTTTTCATATAAAAGAAATAAAAATCTAGAAAGCTACCTTTATACAAAGTTGCTATATTTATGTCTTTAAGTAGGAAAAAACATTTTATAATGCAAATTAGGACATACAATAATCTTACAATATGATACAATGTAATGACAAGAAAGGAACATACAATATAAGATTTTGGCCTTTGTAGAAATGTCTATTTCTGCATTTAATAAATGCATTTGTGGCACACTGGTGACTACTGTATTCTTACTACCTACCAGTCAGCTTTCATGCTAGGGCAGTATTCAGCTGTCTGCAGTTGGGCTGAGACACAGAACTGCTTTTGAGGAGACCAAAAGTGATGCTGCAATGAAGCGAGATGTGAAAAAGGCAACATGCCTGCTGGTTGAGTCCCCATACTGTGGGACACCATAGAACACTCTTTCCTTTCATACCAGAGCATTTCTTATACATTCAGTTAAGTACCAAAGTCTTGCAAGTGAGAACATCTGTGTTTGCGATTTGGCAAAATTCCAGGGAAAATACAAAGTTAGTACCAAATATATATTATATATAAAATGTGGGTGTATGATATACACACAAGTTCTAATGCAAAAAACTGCATTATTATGGACTTAAATTCGCTGACATCCATTCCTAAATAACATGGCCATTAAAAAAAAGGTGTAATCCCAATCTTTCTCTCAATTTAGAATCACTTCCTCTTTCATACAGAATAGTCAAAGCAACATACGTGCAAGTATGACTAAGAAATCAAAATTCCTGTAATTATCTGAACTCTGACCACAACAAATAGGATTTGTTTTTCAGTACATGTAATTAAATATATTTATATTTTTACAGTATTTTTAGACCATTCCTGAAGAACCTGACACCAGGTCTTCAGGTGTAACAGAGCTGTCAGCAGAACTTGATCTTGTAGAACATATCCAGTGGCCCTTGAAGTCAACAGGAATCATCTGTTCAGCTTCAAAGGACACTGCATGCAGACCCAACGAGCTCTGGAAGCCCTGCTAACAAGGAAGATTCCCTGATGACACCAAGCCTTCTTCCAAGACTTCCTTTCCTATTGTCAAAGGGAAGGACCAGAGCAAAGGATACGTGGACTCTGGGCTCTCTGGGTTGCTTGGCAGGTGGTGTTGGGAATGACCATGAACAGCACAGCCCCAGCACCAGGGATTGGCAAGGTAAGCTTCATGGCACCTTTTGCACTACAGCTTCTCATGGGAAGCAGAGGAGCTGCTTCCCCCCCACTCATCGCTTGGCAATTCAGTCACCACGGGTCTCAGACACGAGCTCTGGCTGGGACCCCAAGGCATTTAGTACTTTGCAGACACAGAGGAAGACGGTCCTTATTCTGAAGGGCTTCAGCCTATTTTTTAATCATAATTTTTACATAATCTCCTTTGTATATACACATATTTGCTACATAAAACAGAATTACACCAAAGTAATGGATATAGCAGAAAACGTTGTCACAATATATGTATATTACCACGCTAAATAATTACTAAAACTGCAAGAAAAATTTCAAAAATGCCCTTCATAATATATAAAAATATAGAAATGTCCAACACTTGTTTCATCAACTTTATCTCTCATATTCTATCTGTACACCTACATATTTCCAAACAAAATACTGCGTTAATCCGGAGTAAACACTGTGTTAGGGCAATATCCTCCTAAGACATCTGACAGACTTAGTAACATATCTTATAGCACAGTACCACAAGAAATAATGGATACATGGTCGGAATTGTAGATGCTAGGTTGCTCTTTTTAGGTTTTTTTTTTTTCTTCTGATGCACTTATCTTTTCCAAAAGAGGAAGTAATTCCTAAAGATTGTGAAAAACCTCAATTCATGACTTCCTGTCTTTTTTGTATATGCTCTGTAAGAAGGACATCAACAAACTTGACTCCATCTTAACGCAGTTTTTTGTGGTGGAATTTCTTCTGGACTTGTTTTTTTCTTGGAGTGTATATGAATTTAAAATAAACATATAATAAATGAACTTAGGTTTATATTAAGTAAATACTGTCAATATAAATGCCTGAATTGCTACCTCAAGGAAGAGATGGGAAAGATGGTATCATTAAATTCCAAAACCACCTAATTCTGTCTATCACACTGAAGGACCAAACTCCTTTAGGGGAAATAGAAGAATTTCAGATTTAAGTCCACTACTAGTTCCTACTCTATCAGTTTCATCTTATTTGCAGCCATTAAATAAATTAGTACAGTGCAGAAATGGAACTTCACCATTGATCCCACCTTACATGAAGAGAATACTGCTTAGAAATAGAGGTCCAAATCAGATACATCATTACATGCTCAAAGCAGTAACTGACATTAATCAGAACTTCCATTTTTACTTCACCGACAGTGAATAAAAACAATCTGCTCTCTCCTAACTCTGTCTCATTGAGAAGTCATTAAATATAAAACAAAAACAAGGACAGCCAGATTTTGAGCCAATACACACTGTTAAAAAACAAGCAAAATCAACTGCTGGTCTGTCACATACCAAAGCAGCTCTGTTTTGACACTGTTTTGGACTTTGTACAGCTTACACATTTCTGTGACATTTTTTACACCCAAGCTCCAGTCAGAGGTGTAAACACACACACAAATATCCAAACATCCGGGGGCAGGACACACACACACTCCAGGGGGTTTAAGCAATTTGTTATATGAAATGTCTCCTCGAATAGTTAAGTTTCCTATAAAAGCTCTGCAGACTTTAATAGGAACAGGAATAGTGCTTCAATGCACACCATCACATTCAACCCCTGTCATATGCAAAATGTATTTATTGAGGGAAACAGAAGATTATTTTCCTGATATAACAATAGATTAAATTCTCACTTCCTGTATTTCTACTACAATCTTTATTATGTACTTTTGGTCACCGTTTCATCTTTTTTACCAACTCAGTTTCCTTGTTTAAAAGATACACAATGGATATCTTTCCCAAATCATTGCATTAAAGGAATACCTACAGTTAAAGACTTTCCCTTGTCAAATATGCTTGAAGGGCAGCAGCCAACCACATGTCATGGATGAAAAATAGAACTGATGGAGATGTTACCATTTTTACAGGACCTTGTTTATGTAAACTTAATATGTCTCATTTACTAAAGAAAATAGTTACATATTTGTAGTTTCTTGGTCTATACATCCGTGGGCCCAAAAAAAATATGATCTAAATACCGTGGAGAGATTTCAGCTGAAAACTGAATCCTAGATTACAGAAACTAAATCTAACATCACAGCCTTTAAAAGAAAAATTGAAAAAATATTTACCAAGTCTAAAAGAGTAAAGTGCATTGCAACTGCATCTACTTCAAGGGGCAGAAAATAAGGAATGCTAAAGATGAGTAGTGTGGGTAACGGAATACTCAATATGTTTGCAGCATGCACAAAATGAGAAAGCATTATCCCACCTGTAAAAGGTAAGATGTTAAAAAAGTAGTCCTGGAAAATATGTCATCAGACTCATTAATATAATTAAGGCTACAAAAAGTTGAAATTTCAGTATGTTCTCAATTCTGGGGACCAGAGCTAGGAAAACATTGCAAAACTTGCAACAAGATAAAAAAATTCTCAGACCATTCCTTTTATATGAAACTATTCAGACTAAATGCATAGGACAGCGCAGCGGAACTAAGGAGAGATATGTCTGGTTGTTGAAATTTCAGCAGGTTACTTATGATCTACCTGAAACCTGTTTCCATATTTGGCACTTAAGAATATTACTTTCCTGCCTCACAGGTGTGTTTTTAGGGTCCAATTAATTTGTCCAAACTATACAGATGAGGACCAAATATTTCTAAGCAGCTAGTCAGATCAAACACGTTTGTCTCGAAACACAAGCTGAAGCATTAGTTCAGCTCACAAACTTAAGTGAGCTATACACTAAGAACAAGAATCACACCAGTATTATTAATCCAGTAAGTATTTTGCAATGCATGGTAATTTCTCTTCAGTACAGACCAAGACTGGTCCATAGCATAAGGTGAGGCAATGGCAAAGATGTGTGGGAACACTTACAGAATCACAGAATCAATTAAGTTGGAAAAGACCTCTGAGATCATCGAGTCCAACCTGTGACTGAACACTACCTCGTCAACTAGACCATGGCACTCAGTGCCACATTCAGTCTTTCCTTAAACACCTCCAGGGACGGTAACTCCACCACCTCTCTGGGCAGCCCGTTCCAATGTCTAATCATACGTTCTGTGATGAATTTCTTGCTAATGTCCAACGTAAACCTCCTCTGGTGCAGCTCAAGACTATGTCCTCCTGTCTCATCACTAGTTGCCTCAGAGAAGAGGCTGACCCCCACCTGGCTCCTTTCAAGAGACTGCAGACCTGTAAAAAGCCTAGCTTTAGGTAGTCATTACCTTTTTGAGTACCAAGGTCTCACCACAAGTCAACAAGCCTATCACAAGAATATGCAAAGGCTGATCATGAAATCATTAATGAGGATTGTTTTGTTTTGTTTTTTTAAATTTCGTTTATGGTCCTCATAATGGTCTCAGTGACTCCCATCTTTTACTTCTGCAAATTATAGTCTTTATGCATCTGGTATTTCAGTACCATACAGTCTGTAAAAAATAATTAAAGTGAAAAAGTTGCCTGATACCAGCTAATGGTGTGGCAAGACACATGTATTTCAGGTGCTACTACTGATGCCACTACTAAATGAGAGAAGACCAAAGAAAAAAGAGGAACAGAAATACACACCAATTTAAAAGACTGAAAATAACTGTAGTTTTTTTTTTTATAAAACTTCAACTCAAATATTGCATGAAGACCCTTAATGCTTTTCCAGATCTCCAAATGGCTTTTCGTGCATGTTTTTCCTCACAGTTCAGGGGTTATTTTACATCATACCAGTTCACACAAGTGTCAGTTCCTTTGCAATCACAGGCTCAAGAGCAATCTCTTCTACTGCTAGTACCAAGGTGCGCCTGCAATACTGCCAGAATTCTAAGATTATTCAGAGTATTAATAAACAAAACAAAATAAAAACTTCTAAGGGTGCATCTGGAGTATTCAACAAAGAACATTCTACCTGGATGTACCTGTAACACTGAGCAGCCATCATTGTGACCAAATTCACCAACTGCAAAAGGAAAAGAATTACGCTTGTAGATAATACTACCTTCAGATAATTTACTACATATCTTTCTAAATTAAAGTATACTATCACCTATGGATGCACACTGCTAGAATGTACAACTTTCTATAAAGAACTATCAAGTCCAGTACCCTGCCTCCCGTGTAACCTGTGTTTGATGCTTTAGAGGAAGACAATAACTGCATAATAAACCTTTCCAGTTGTGCAATAATGCATGCTGCTGGAGAGCTGGGATATTTCTGTCAGGCATAAAAAAGTAGAACACTGGACAAAGACAACTATTTGACCTTCACGAGTCTTTCTTTGTCAAATGCAGAGAATAAGACAAACACATATATGACCCTGAACAATAATTAAAGATATGTACAAAATTTTTACTTTTAAAACAAGACATTATGGAACAAATAAAAAAGAAACATACAAATGCAAAGAAAGAAAAGGACAGTGAACTAAGAAATGACAAGAGAGCCTTAATTCATACAGCCCACCTGTGAATTCCTTCACAAAAAACCCCAAAACTCTAATGGGATTAAAATTTTGCCAGATTTCACAGGGAATTTGATATGCAACTTGGAATTCTATTCTAGCGGAAGGAGCTTAAGGCTGGATTTAGATGTGTTTATAGCTCTGATCAACGAACATCAATGTGACCTCTCAAAAATCACACAAGTTGAGAAAACTGTCAGGAATTAGAGGCCTTCTTGCCCACAGGCAAAAAAGGTGTGGTGTTTGTATTCCTTGAGATGAACCAATGTATCTTGTGTGTGTCAAACTGAGTGAATTAGTGTATTACATACATTTCATTCTGGAGGAACCACTTCAATGAGAAATGAATGTAAGATATGTATATTGAAAGATTAGGTTTACCTGCTAATAATGCACATATCAAGAGGCTTTAAAAAGTGTTATAAATGCCATTAATGAGTATAGGCACCAGACCAGAATATTTATAAATTCAAAACCAGCATGTCACTCAGACTCTAATCAATTAAAGAGGCACTGTGAAAGGTGGTGATGCTGCTATGCAGTAATTACTTCTACTGTAGAATGAAATAGTGTTACCTAGATGAATACTTGCTCTACATTAATTCCCTTTAGTTAGACAAGTACATGAAGTATGCAGAAAAAGTTCTATTAGTCTATAAAAGGCATTAGTGTTAAGAAATGCAAAGTACTCGCATCTTCAATGTTATAAACTTCACAAAAGGTGCAAATGATTCAATGCTTCCCAGGCTCACATAGGCAGGTCAGTACTGTTATGTCTAGTTTTCCTAGAAGTACCATCATCTCGGGGCAGTGCTTTTTGCAAGCTTGACATAGCAGCAGTTCTTTCAATGTCTATCACAGCATACAGGTCTGTGCGCCTGGTTGGAGTTTGCGGAAGTGGAGTGGTGGGGGTTTTTGGAGTCTGAGGGTTGTCAGAGTCACTACCACCTTCCAAGTCAACCTGTATATAGTTGAGCTGCCTGTGTTCTAAACTTGGACGCCTAATGTCAAAGTTAAAGACTGTTGGGGTACAGTCCCGACGTCGTGCAAATTCTATTTTATGAGCACTTGCTGGTACTGTTACATTCTCTGTATTGACATAATTATGCATTAGATCTAGGTTATTGTGGTAGCCATTCAGAGATGGGGTCTTTGGTCCTAAACTGTCATCTTCATCTCTACTCAGCTTGCGAGCTTCCCAAACAGGAGGCAAGGATGGCAAGTTCTCATAGTTCAACAGCGCAGTTCTCCTCTGAGCAGAGTTGTTAATGTTCTGGGTGTCTGAGGTACTGGTTGATGTCAAGCGACCTCTCCTGACCCCTGAGGCACTAGGGATTGATAACCTATTTATATTTTCATACACCAGTTTATTACCAGATGGTGTTTCTCTACGTTCATCGCTGTCGTACCCAGTGTCCCATTCAGTGTTGTTTGTGCTGCTGCCGCTAACTTGATCTCTCCCAAGTTGCTCCAGTTTCTCTCTTTCCATTAACTGCCTTTGAACAGGTGTTGGTCCTAAAACAAATTTGACTCCTTCAGGCTCCAGGAGAACCTGAGCATCTCTGTCATCAGTACACATCTGATCTTCTTTCACTTTAGTTATTTCAGTGTTTGAAAGCTTTGATTCCAGTGGCACATGCACACTCAATCGATTTTTTCTTTCTTCTTGTACTCCAGTAGTGTTGACGTAAGTGTGCACCTAAGAGGAAGAAAAAATGAGGAAATTCAAATGCTCTTTGTGCCTCTTTTTCCCTCTCCAAATTTCTTTCCTTCTTAGCTCCCCACTTTTCTAATAAAAATACCAGAAAATAAAATCTTGTTATGCCAGGTGTTTAAGAGTAAAGGTCACCTCTCACATTTTGTTGAACTGTGGTCAGTTTGGGGTTTTTTCCCTGAAATTTTGTTGTTGGTTTTGTTAATGCTACTATAACAAAAGAACCAAATTTATATTTTAGATTAATAATTAGTTTTATTTGATGTTTTATCTCAGTTGTGCTCTAATTCTCACTTTTCAGGTTCTATTACAGCTCTGCTCTGATCAGGGCAAACTTGGGCTGCTCCTTACTCCATTACATCCATTAGCTCATTACTTCACATGGACAGATTAGTGAGAGCTTTACTTTTTTGTCCCTTACCATGACAGCGACCACCAGTTATTTTCCTAAATTTGTCTTTGTAATTTCCACATTGCAAAGGAAACTTGCAAATCAAAACAAAACAAAACCATAGAGAGACCTAAAAAAACCCTCAGGCTCTTGCCTTGTGTACTACTGCAGGAACAAAAAGAGAGGTTGGGTCTACTGAAAGAACAGACAATTCTTTCTTCAAGAGCCAACAGCTTCATAATAACAGAAACTGAAATAGAAAAATATATAATTCCATATGAAGAGTGGAACTCAGAATTAAATAGAAGCAGGAGTTGTCACCATATGCTGCTAGGAAAGGCAAAAATACACTACTAGGTTATCCCTCCAATTTCCCGAAGTGGATCAACACAAGGCTGAATGGGAAACACTGCATTCTTTCTCTAAATTTGAATTCTATGTCTGGATACCCAAACGGCAAAAGTAGTATTTTACAGCAGCAGTTGTGTAGCCTTCCAAACCTCTCTGTCAAGCTCTACAGGCTGAAGTGTTATTTACAGCTCACTTGACTCTTACACTGATACTTTAACTCATTTACTCTTCAATAACTCCAACAATAACACCTGAACTATTCTGTGGTGGCTCCTAACAAATCCTTTCCCACAAGACAGTTCTCTGCACTCTGCTCTGGTTACCCTTTCTGGTTTCCAACACTGCTTCTTGTCACACACAGAAATCTTCCTAAACCACATGACATTATTAAACTTAACTAACATCTAACATTTTCATCAGCAACCTGAATGATAAGAGAGAACACACCCTCTGAGAGTCTTCAGTCTTTCCCAGACTGGTAGGCTTTCCATTGAGAGGGATCTCAGCAGCCTGGAAAACTGACCTCATGGAAACCTCAGCAACAGCAAATGCAAAGTCCGGTGCCTGGTACAGAACACCACCAACAGGCTAGACACCAACTGACTTGAAAAGGAGCCTTGCAGCAAAGCTGGGGGTCCGGGTAGATGGTAAATCAAATGTGAGTCAGCAGCATGCTCTGGCAGCAATGAAAAACCAAACCTGCACTGGTTTGTGTCAGCAGTAGCACAGCCAGTAGGTTAAGGAACATGATTATTACCATCAGCTCAGTTCTTGTGAGACTGAATCTGAGCTCCTCAGTACAAGACAGACATCACCATACTGGAGAAAGTCTAGTGGAGGGCTGGAGCGTGTGACATACAAGGAGAAGCTGAGAGCACCATCTTTGTTCGGTCTTAATGAAAAGGCCAGGGAACCAATTAACAGCTGTTTTCAACTACCTAACATATAAAGAAGACAGAGCCAGACCCTTTTTGGAGATATTCAGCAAAAGGCTAAGGGGCAGTGGACAACAGCTGTAACAAGAAAAAATCTGATTACATATTAGGGAGAAATGTTTTCACAACAAAGGTGGTGAAACACTGGAACACATGGCTCAGGTTCTGTGGAATCCCCTTGTTTGCAGTATTAAAAACATGACCAGGACAAGGCTCTGTGCAGCTGTCTCTAACTTAAAAATTTGATCTGGAGGACTAGAGGTCCCTTATAACCTAAAATATTCCATGATTTCTATTTGCCAAAGAGAAGACTTACACATAAAGAAGCTTTTTGACCAGGATCTCTCATTATAATGTACAATATGTACATTATAATGTACAATTACTTGTGTTAAAAATAATTACTGACATTTTTGAAAATAGTATAATGCAAATACATGCATTATACTATACATGTTTCTATATTTTATTTGTATATAAATACGAAGCTATCCTACAAAGTATCATTTTGAGGAGGCAAAATATAATAAAAATTATATAATAGACACTTTTCTGAGGTAGTTAAAATACGGTAGAAATACATTACACCTGATACTGAAAAACACAAGTGAAAGCCTACAGAAAAATCATGATAAAAATCTGAAGTAATGTGGAACCTAAGTTGTATGAGGGGAAAAAACCCACTCACTTGCTCTTCTGCTACAAGTAAAGGATGTGTTGATTCTTCACCGACAGAGGGGAGGCGTGCACTTCCCACAGAAGGATGTCTGCTGGAAGGATGTGATGAAGCATCTCCAAAAGATGGGTATCTGGGATAGCCATTAGGTAAACTTTGTGCATTGAACCCAGGAGCTGATTCAATTAGAAAACAAGCAAAACCATATTAAAATAGAACATTTTACTGTATATTAGTAAGATGCTTTATATATTCATTTTCAATTTTCAAAAGGGTAAGATGCTTTATATATTCATTTTCAATTTTCAAAAGGGAAATTAAAATATGTAAAACAGTATTAAATATTCACAAGGCTCAATTTTGCTTGGAGGAAGGAAACAGACAGCAGAGAATAGCATCCCAGTATTTACTGGGAAACATGTCTGAAGCAACTATGAAACCTGGGTGTATTACACACTGCAGTCCTCCCACTAAGCTCCCTATCCAGCTTTCTATCATTAACGTGTCTCCCTGACAAATAGAGACTTATTTACCTAAGCTTCCATTCCTCTAAAATCATCAACAACTTAGAATTCCTAGTTTCAAATATCAAGCCATCTGGGTGAGATTACCTAAAATCTTCTGGTATTTCTGAAAGCACTCCAGTCTGCCCGTCCTCCCACTTCGAGCAAAAGAAAAAGATTCCAAAGCCACTGTACACGTGGTTTTACCAGTACTTTTTTTCCCCTAATAAAAAGGTTGGAACACTGCCCAACATTAACATTTCTCAGAAATGCTACAGGTAAAACATGTTGATATATTATAAAGCAATTCAATAGGTGTATTTGTAAGCATTCTCATGCAACAACTAAGTTCCCAAAACTTATTTCATAGAGGTGAAGAATTTTACTATAGCAGTTCTGCTTCCAAGACTTAGGGTTCTCAAAAGAGAATCCTCAGCAAGTACCTCCATAGACTACATTACTGGTAGTTAGTCTCAGCTTTAAATTAGCTTTCTTTTTAATTATTTAAAGATTAAATGCAAATCAAATGCTATTTTCAGCTAAGTACCACATTACATTCAGGTATGTCATCTGACAGTAGAACCATACTTACTGGTAGGTGTTCGAGGGGTTCTTGGAACTTCCAATTCAGTTTGATGATTATTCCTTTCTACTACTGGTTCCTCTACCACATTTATGCTATTATTCTGCATTATCTCTTGTAACATGTTAAATAGCTCTTCTGCCCGGGCACATTTAAAGGCAAAGATTCCTACAAGTACACACACACAAAAAAATTAAAAATCCTTTAACTAAGAAACATGCCTCGCAATATATATAACTTTCAAGAAATAGAACTGGAATCCACATAAAGAATACCTGTTAAAGAAGCAAAAATGTTATGAAATTTTTATTGTACCAAAACACACAAAGTTACTGTGAGAACCTTTAAAGTGGTTATCTCATAGAAGAATAAGGTTCCCATGCACCAAGAGTGCATGGGAACAGAAAACTGATTCAGTTAAGAGCAAAATTAAGTTTTGAGTGGTAAATGGGGAGGGGAAAACACCACAAGGTTCTTTCTTTTAAGCTCATAAAAAGGATACCTACTAAATAAATACAATTTTTAAAAATCTTCAAATGAAACTACAGTGGTGCTACAAGGTCATATTTCCTAAATTGGATTTCTATTAAATTACCATAAAAAGAAGATACCTGCATAACAAAAAAGGATTTAAACACTGAGTAAAAGCTTAGTTTCTTTAAGAGGATTAAAATTAAAAGCTAGTAAGACAAACTGTGTGAAACAGACAGTAACAAACTAATTGCTTTAGGCTAATAGACACAGAACACAAAGTTAGCAGCAATACCGACTATGTTGTGTGTGTATTGTGCCACTTTGCCTTTGAACAGCAGGGAGCGTCCCAACTTACCCTCACCAGCAAAGTCGCAGCTTTGGATTATTCTTCCATTGAAAGCATGAAGTTAAAGTTGACATGCTTGTTAAACGTGGGTGCAGGTGCTCATTTTTCAAAGTGAGTATTACAATCTTAAAACACTCTTTACTAAAAACTACCTATCTATATAGCTACTCCGACGGGAAATGCAGTTATGTGAATATGCTGGCAATTACTATCATCATGTATTTATTTAGGGACGCAGAACTGTGACGGATCAGAACTACAAGAAATGCTCCACATGGCAGAGGTTCACAAAAACCCAGCTGGGAATACACCAAGCGGGCTAGGAGGAATGACACTCAATGATTAATTTGAGCTGGTGCACTGAATAAGCTTCATGCTTGTAACATTGCAGCTACAGAGCTTCTACTACTATATTTCCCTGACCCATGATCCAGCTAAAGTACAATAGTCCATGTTTAATATTTTGTGTGTTTCTGAAAATTCACACTTGATACTTAAATCTTAACAGATAAAAAATAGAATTTAAAAAAATCTAGGTTCACAAGCTTGTAAAGCTCCCAGTATGTTTCCAAGAAATTCAGCTGCCTTTAAATACATTCACATTAAATACAATGTGATCTGTCACACAACATGGTGACACACACCAGGTTCTCCAAGTTTTCTATCCTGAATTATCTATTAGCTGTGCTCCTAAAACATGTCTTCAAGTTTTTTAACACCTAGCACAAACTCAGTGTTTCACCATCAATGCACTCTGACAACTAATCAATAGATATAATTTGAGATTAAAGGGAAAACACAAACAAGAATACTGACTAATGCAAGAAGTTGCTCAGCAGTATCCAGTGAATTCTCAAATGAAAAACTCAGTTAACACACAAAGCAAAGATGAGGTTTTGCAACTGTGCCCACAAAACACAGTGTAGGTCTCAGGAACAATGCTCCATTGCAAAAGGACAGCAAAGACCATTTTCTGCCAGATTTCTTTTTTCTCAATATTCACAGTATTTTAATATCACATAAGGAAGTCAAGAAACAAAAGAGGGAGGAAAGGGTTGCTGCTTACACAACCTGCTTAATCTTCTCTGTTAAAAAAAAAAAAGAATAAAGCAATTGGGAGGAAAGCAGAGAAGTCAATTAGACTCGGTGGAAAATTTTGCACACTTGCTAATAGACTGTAGAAAAGAACCTTCAAATTAGTATTTTCAATTAAATATTATTAGTATCTCTTTTCAATGTTTAAAAGAAGCAATAAATTAAGCCTGCAAAATCAATTACAGTGATTATCTTCAAAACAAAGTTTATTACTTTCTGTTTAGAATTCTGAAAATTTATTTTAGTAGTGTGACATTTGAAAACATCTCCATTTCTTATTAGGAGACAAACTGAGAATGTCTTCTAAAACACTTATAAAAAAGAATTTGTCTGCTTGGACAATGAAGATTTACCAGGTTTACTTATGACCAAGTTCTTTGATCTTCCTGATTTTTTTTACAGTGAAATTAAAAACCAAAAATTGCAGTTTCTAAATATTGTTATTGATAATTTCACAACATATGAATACATAAGAATTCCAACTACGCACAGCTACTTCACAGTAGAAAGATACAAAATGAGGCCAAGACCTCAACCAAAACCTCCTCCCCAGGGACTGCTGCAGTGAAGAGAGAAAAGCCTGAATCTTCTCAGAGGCAGCCAACCTTGGCCAAGGCAGGCACGGTCTGGGAACTGGAAAGGTAACTATCTTCCAGTGAAAGCCACACAGAAAATAACTGAGCATAGCTGAAGTATACACACTTCATACCAAAACATGTAAAAATTTGAGAATTATGTAATTGATATAATTGAAAGTGGTAATTTGCTTTAGGAAGAGGATGAAACACAAGTATGTTACTGAAGATAATAATAAGGTGGGGACATCCAGTTCACATCAGAGCTCTAGTCTTTTAAAATCTAAAAATAGATAATTCTTCGAATTCTGAAGAAATTCCTCCCCAGTTCCAGATTCCACTGCCTCCCCCTGAAAGTCAAGGCAACCTCTGAGGCAGGAGAATTTCCCTGTCAATACCACCTCTTAAGCTGACCAAAAGTATTCACACATAGAAACTTCAAGTCCTCCAGACCTACAATGCCAAAAACTATGTGCAGCTCAAATCCTCATTCCTCATGAGGTAATTTTTTCCCAGAAACCACACTCACATATAAAACTATAGCCTTTATAACCCTTGCCAAAAGAACCAGTAAATATCTTCCAACATCAAATAAATTTCCAACATCTTTATATACAAAATTTCCACGTACCTTGTCCAGTTTGACACCTTCGACCACTTTCAAAAGAAAAAAGATTTGAGTCATAGCCATAGCGACGGAGACAGAGGTAGTGCCATTTTACAGAGTCCCTTTTACGGGTGTACAAAATCAATTCTGTATCTGTAAGTTCCATTATGCCAGAACCCAGTTCATTACCATCATCATCCACATTAATAACCTATAAAAAAGAAGTTAAAAAGTATTAGGTAAGTACTCTTTTGAGAAACAATACCACTTCTAATAATCTAGTTACGATCCTTGAAGTAAAAGTTTTTAAAAAAACCCAAACAAACAAAAAAAAAGAACAACTCACCAAACTAGTTCCTTTGCTTCCCCAACCCAGAATTAAAAAAATTAAAATAATACTTATTTAAAAGCAATACGAATGAAACTGCCTAACATTACTGTAAAATCTGGTGAGAAATTTAAAGTAGAAGAGATTCATAAGTCAAATACTTTTTTATAAACTGGCTTTATGTACATATTCAAGTATTTCTACATGCATAAGGCATTCCTCAGATAATGGAATCTCTCAGAGCCCCATTTCTAAAAAAAAAGTATTTGCTTTGTCATATAATCCCACTTACAGTTGGGAAAAAGAATAAAAAAGGGTAAGCGGCTCCAGGGTAAAGCTTCCTTCACATGCATTATAGCCTTACACTGTGCTGAAGCACCCAACAATTTTAGATATTTTGCTGCCTTTTTAAAGTCAACAAATAACTCAAATACCCTATAGTTACCTTGTGTGAAAACATGTGCGTAAAGCTTCAACTCTTATTCTGTTCTGCGTTTAAACTATTTTGAGGTCATCTGCATCCTTTATGGAATTTGGACAATATATGTATTTTCCTCTGCATGTATTTTATCTCACAATGCTGCTTTTAGTGCGATTCTTTGTTATTCATTAAAAAGCTACCAAAAATTTTCCCTATGGAATTAATGTTACTCCTTAGAGAGACATTTTCAACTTGAAATCTAGTCAATTGAAAAGAATTAGGAATAGTTTCATCTGCCACTGAGGCTTATGCCAATTTTCCTCATTTTGCAAATTACATTCTTTCATCTTCTCCCTCCTGCTGCTATAAATCAGCGATCCAAACAACAGAGAAATTCTACAAGGAGAAAATTAGGAACTAGTTACACAAAGTGATGTCAAATGCATAAAGAGCAAGAAAACAGATAAATATTTTATCCTTCAGCTTTCTTTACTGACAATACTAAACATTTCCCTAAGGCAACACATGAATCATTTTTCACTATGGAAGCATTACATTCCTTTGTCAACTCAGAGTTTGGAGCACAGAAGCAAATCTGACTTGTGTGACTATGCAAAGGTATGTTTACTTAAAGTCACTGACTTCAGCAGCTTCATGTTTAGCATGTTAAGCACATGAACAAGTGTTCACAAGCTTATAAATTCCAGAGATATATGGGACAAAAGCACATTTAGAAATAAATTTCTTCCAAGTAAAGGGCAAAAGTTCTCAAAATGCTACAATCAGTAGTGACCTTCAAGTAAAATCAGCCATCCTAAAATTTTCTATTGCTGACCCCGCATTCAGGTTCACAATCACACTTCTCTAATAGCTCTTCCCTTATGCTTACGGATACTTTCCTAACTTCTGTAAGTTCCCAGAGACAACACCACTTACTTGGCCCCTACCAACTGAAATGGAGATGGATCAAAGTACAGCGTTTCTTCTCCTCCCTAAAGATCAAAACTGTCCTAAAAAGCCTACCCTATCTGGGCAATTCCTGTCACTACTCATAAAAGAGGATCCCTCAAAGGGGCAGGAGAAACCTGTAGCCACAGACACCTGCAACTCTGCAATGTTTCAACTATTCAGAAATCTGCACTCTGTTTTCATTTAATGTTTTTCAATCCCAGACCTACCCTGCAAGAAAGCAACAAAATAATTCACAGCATACCATGTAAGTCGCATACCTTAAACTTGTTTCGGTGGTTATCTGGGACAGTTTCTTTATCTGGACAGCTACAACAGCTACCCATGACTTCTTTAGAAGACCATCTGATCTCTAAAGGGAAAAAAAAACCCCAACCAACAAAGTCATTTAGGATAAGTAAAAATAGAGTAACATCAACAAAAACAACCAAATGCAAATTACTCTCTGAAATTACAATTTTTCATGATGAATTTTGCAATCATAAGATACAAAAAGTCAACATAGATACTACAAGTATAGTAGTTAAGTTAGATTTGGCATTAAGGAGTGGCAACACTGAGCTGTTAAAGTCCTACCAATAATTCAACCTGAGGTTACTACCAAACAGATGCATCTAATCTGTCACCTTAATTCCCATGGTAGCAGCTTAGGGGAAAACAAAAACCAACAACTCACCGAGTGTGATTTTCATCTCCTAAACTGGGGCCTAAATGATGACTCCCTGGCTCAGGCTGCTGAGCACAGCCCTAGTGCCGCCCCTAGAAGCCCTGGGCTGTAGGAGGTTACCAGGCACAGGCAACACAAAGAGCACACATGACAATCCTGAAAGGCTGCCTTGGCTTTGGCAGCTCCAGGGCTGCTTTGCAAGAGAGGGTGGAGGCATTCCAGGCCTGGAGGCAGCTGTGTGCTAGCAGCCATGCCGTGAAGTTCTGTGCTTCCACTTTTGAATACTTCTCATATAGCAATGTGCATCAAATTATGTAATCAAAGTCAAGGGAAGGAAAAAACTCACATTCCACGCAAATATTTTAAAATTTGGGGGTGGGGGGGAATCTATTGAGTACCATTTGAATTGTTATATATTTGCTATAAAATAGTAAAATACGCAACTAACACAGAACTGCATGTCTAAATTAATGAAACCAAAAATAAATACTTGATTTTTTTGATATTTTCATTTAAAGGTTTTTCTATATATAGCAAAACTTTCATAAAACAGTACGATAAAATGTTCACACAACCAAATCTCACAACTTGCTGCTTCTCCCTATCACCACGCAGAGGGGGGTAAGCCTTGTATTTCTTAAATACAAGGAAGTCAACAGAAGAAAACCCATTTACATCATCTTTATATTGCATAAGAACTAAAATTTTCACTACACAAATGAAAAATGGGACAGAATCCTGGAAGAAAGCTATTAAGTCAACAAGAGATATGACATTAGGAATCAAGAAGAAAGAAGACAGAATGGGTTGATAATTTTTCCTGACTAAAGAGGGAAAAAAATCCGATGTCACCTTAAGAAAACTGACTTATTTTCTAGATGGGCATTTGTATTAGCATGCAGCAGTAGTATCCACAAAGCGTTTTAGTCTGCTGAGATATAAGGTGCAAGGAATACAGTGAAGAGCATCTAACTCTTCCCCTCTTCTTGATCAGAAAAGCCACTCACAAGAGATACTTCTACCTTAGAGACTGTATAAACCTTTATAAATCTACCACCAACCCCTTGCAGAGGTGAAGCAAGAACTTAACAGAAAGTGTAACAACATGGCTTGGATTAATCTAGTCAGAAAGAGGCAGAACGTCAGACACATAATCAAAATCATGGATTCTTTAATGTCATTTCTCATCATAACACAAAAATATGCGTTTATTTGACAGAACTTTTTTTCCAAATCAAGATGAAATTGGAGGGTTGCTTGGTTACTTCTGCTGTAGAGAGATGCTATGTCACATATAACAATTTATTTTTATTTGCACAGAGTCGTTTAGGTTGGAAAAGACCTCTGAGATCAATCATCGAGTCCAACCTATGACCTAACATCACCTTGTCAACTAGACCATGGCATCAAGTGCCACATCCAGTCTTTTCTTAAACACCTCCAGGGATGGTGACTCCACCACCTCCCTGGGCAGCCCATTCCAATGCCCAATCACCCTTTCTGTGAAGAACTTCTTCCTAATGTCCAACGTAAAGCTCCCCTGGCGCAGCTTAAGGCCGTGCCCTCTTGTCCTGCTGCTGGTTGCCTGGGAGAAGAGATTGACCCTCACCTGGCTACAACCTCCTTTCAGGTAGTTGTAGAGAGTGATGAGGTCTCCCCTGAGCCTCCTCTTCTCCCAACTAAACAACCCCAGCTCCCTCAACTGCTCCTCATATAGGACTTGTGCTCAAGACCCTTCATCAGCCTTGTTGCCATTCTTTGTACTCACTCCAGCACACCAACATCATTTCATGTAGTGAGGGGCCCCGAACTGGACACAGTACTCAAGGTGCAGCCTCACCAGTGCCGAATACAGGGGGACAATCACTGCTCTGGTCCTGCTGGACACACTGTTCCCGATACAGGCCAGGATGCCATTCACCTTCTTGGCCACCTGGGCACACTGCTGGCTCGTGTTCAGACAGCTGTCAATCAGAACCCCCAGGTCCCTTTCTGCCTGGCCACTGTCCAGCCACTCTGTCCCCAGCCTGTAGTGCTCCATGGGGTTATTGTGGCCAAAGTGTAGGATGCAGCACTTGGCCTCGTTGAACCTTATACGGTTGGATTTGATCCATCTATCCAGCCTGTCCAGGTCCCTCTGCAGAGCCCTCCCACCCTCCAGCAGATCAACACTCCCCCCTAGCTTGGTGTCATCTGCAAATTTGCTAATGGTGGACTCAATCCCCCCATCCAAATCATCAGTAAAGATAATAGAAAGGACTGGGCCCAGTGAGGAGAAGCTCTGAATGTTATTAATCAGTCTAATCACTCAGTTACAGACCACTTTTAATAATCTTCACACACACATCCCATTGTTATTTTAACTACTCATATTTTTATTATTTCTTTCCTGTTTTATTTAGAAAGGGAGATACAGGTAGTGATAGCTAATAACCAGTAATAGCTAATTACTGGTTTCCTGCCCTGGCACCCCACAATGCCTCACTACAGTAATGGTCAGACGTTGTTCTTGTTAGCCCACTGCCACTGCCGTATTTACTGCTATGAGGAGCAACAGGTCACAATAGCTGCAGTGCAGATTAACAGTGAATATATAAATCTGCAGCAAAGCTTTTCAAACTCTGTTCCATACAACAGGTTGCAGCCTTCAGGCACAGATGCATGCACTTAGACCTCCTCAAATGTTTTGACAAAGTGTAAACAAAACTAGATAGTTGCATGATGTTTGTATCATAACTTTCTATGCATTCAGCATGAAATAACTGATCAAATCTGCTAAAGGCAGGTGTCCAAAAACTTTAAAAAAAAACTTCAAAACTTAACTGCAAAACGGTTTTGGGGAAAAAAAATCACTGGAGTTGCAAGAAGAAAGCTGTAGAATATGAAAATGGATGAAGTACAGCCTCAGTATCTCAAGAATGACAAAGAAAGGCTATGTAATCAATAATCATACAAGTTCGTTATTTTGTCTTAAATATATTCTAATATTAATATTTCAGAAAACCAAGAACTGCAATGCTGCTTCAAAGGAGAGATATGAACCAAGGCTATAAGGAAGAAATTAAACAGGTAGGGAACTGGCAGAATTAAAAATCACTCACCTAGATTTGGCCATTAATATTCCCAGCCTCTGCTGCAGCATCAGGGCTTCTGTCATACTCAAAGTGTCATGCTGTCTTGCCACAGAACTAATCATTTGACCTAGAACTAGAAGAGTAAATCAATGTCATATTTTCTTGTTTTTAAGATGCTGGTTAGTAAACTAAGAAAAATACAGACTTTTGTTTATTATCATTTTGTCAGTGTTATGTCAAGTGAGGTCCTCATGAGTAGGAGGCATCTGAAGTGATGTTTTAGACAAGACCAATCTCTTGGAGCTTTTGTGCCTTGGAAGAAAATAATTTGGCATTCCTTTCTGCAGCACAGCCTGTCACGCTGCAGACTCCATTCATTCCCCACTCACTGCTTACCCAATTTAGTGTGTGGAAAGGATGGATGCGAAGCTCCCGTTATCCTCAGTACATACTGAACCAAACCACAGCCGACAAACAGAACACACACAACTTACTCTGTGTAACTTCCCCTTGCTTATTCTAGCGAACCTACACAAATGCTGACTTGTATGACTAACACATCACCCTTTCTCTGCTTCCCTTATGATTCTTGCTCCATGGCATTAACCATAAATTGCTTGCTTTTACTTCCCCTCACTCCCTGGATTATTCTCACACCAGCTATACACTCACATTTAACACCAAAAACACAACTGCTGCTTCCATCATGCTAACAGTTGGCAGCCTCTGTTCTCTGTTTGTAAAACTGCCAAACAAGCACTTAATATTTCCTTTGATGCTGCTTATTAAACTCAATAGAAGGGCTAATTTCTCAGAAAAATGCTTTATTATTAGTCTTTCTTATCAGTCTTTCAGGATGTCTACACAAACTTCTTTGAAACCACTGCAGCTTTGCTTATAATTTTTTTGCTGCAATTCTTTATATTCATCTGCTGTCCTCTGCCTTGCACCTGGATTAAAATCATCTTGGGAAACCAAAGTACTCTTCTTTTTTGCATGATATCAAGAGTAAGGTAGTTCCAAATTCATTCCAGGTCCTAGGCATCATTACAACAGTTGCAAAACACTTTTACTGTGAAGGGATTGTGCAAGAGATCAGCAGAAATTCAATACTGGCAAATGCAAAATAACACACCTAGCAAAGGAACTCTGTCTGTTAGGAAAGATCAGTCACATAGTCATGGAGTTCAATGAAAATGCTAGCTCCATAGCTATCATAAAGAAAATGAAACATAACTGTTTGGAAAGAACTAAAAGAGCCAAACCAAACCCACAGTTGAATCCACAGTGCACCCCCAGACATAGTAATGTATGCAGTCAAGCCTCCCCTGTCAAAAAAGACAGAGTAAAACTAGAAATATGCTACTTATATGGCTCAGCCTAAAAAAACGGAGCACAGAGGTCAGAAAAAATGAGTACGGAATTATAGGTGACACAGAGAAGATAAATAAAGCACACCTATTTTCCAAATGCAAGCACTAGGGAACATCAGTTGACATTAAGGAGCGGGTTCAAAGAACTACATAGAAATACTCTACATGGTACGTAGTTAAACTTCGTGATCCACAACGTCTTGTGGGAATGAGTTCCAAAAATTTACAGGCTCAAAAAGCAATTGGACAAAAGCAAACTCCATGAACAGCTTTTAAAGTCAAGGATGTCACATCTGGCTCAAAAAATCTCTAAGCTGCAGATACTTCCAAGTGTCTTAAAGACTGATCATAAAATGTTTCTTTTTATTATTCCCTTCCCTATATATTTACTATTTGCTGTCAGAATTTACTATTTACTGCCAGAAACAGAATGCTGGACAAGCTGATACTTCAAGTGTGACCCAATAAAGCCATTCTAGTTAATGTAAATGGATGACATCAATTCAGCATAAATTTTTGAGTGTACTGCCATAAGACACCAAAAAAGAAATAACTAACAACTTAACTTGAAACTAAACCCTAGATTTCACAAAGGTACACAAAAAAACCTTATTGAACTGCTTGATATGTACTTTTGCATATAGTTGTATTTAGGACCTACCCCTCTGCAACATGCACAGGCTCTGGTTCTATGTTTGCCCTGCCCAATCTAGCTGGTATTATTTAACTATGATTTTTATCAGGTTAGATTTTTGCTTGCTACTGTACCAAGCCAGCTCAGCAGAGAGTCTAGCCAGTGCCAGAGCAGCTGGGGACAGAACCACAACCCTAGTCACCTCAGCCCAGCTTTCAGAAAAAGGAGCCCCTTCACTATGACTGAGATTTAAGGTTTACCAAATTCCCTGCTAAAATCTTCAGGACTCAAGAGCAGAAGAGGGAACAGAAAGCCTGACCCACCTACTCTGGTGGAATCTTACAGGTAGTCACTAGAAAAATAATAAAATTAAAAATTTTCACAGGCAACATACCCTATTGCAGATATGTTTGCATTAGTCTTTACCTAGCAAAGTTTTAAAGCTTTCACATGGTTTGGTTACCTAAAGCAGACTAGCCTGTTTCAGTTCCCTAAGAATGACTTTTAAACAATCTAAGCAGAGTTCTTGATGATAAAAAAAAGTGCACAATTTTTATTTTTTCTTTCAAAATTTTACAGCAGTTAACTTTTTTTAAATGTAAAGCAGTAACAAAATTCTCCAATCAGCTGCTTCCAATTACAAGTTGGCTATTTACTTTGTTTGGGATTTTCTTAAATCTTCCCAGATTGCAAAATATTTACCAAAAATTAAACATACAAGGAGAAGTAGACATTTTCACAATTATAACTCTAAAACTTAATCTCTTCAGTTATGTCTACACTGTCAAATTTAGGAGCTGTGATTTGCCATTCAAGAAGCATCAGTGGTGGTTGGGTGCAGTCATACAAGGAGGGAGAAGAGGATGGAGTGCAGTTTCTGCTTCTCCCTAACACATTTATTACTGCACTGCAAAGTAAAAATCCCAGGCAAGGCAAACCTGCATAAATTGGGAATTATATCCTCTATTCAAAAATTCACCCCAACCAATGCCAAAATTTGCATTACCTTTACCAACCCAAAATCTTATAACAGCATTTGAAGCTTGCATACTCAATTGCTTTGAACACTTGCAACTCCATTCAGCTTGTTTTGTTTTTCTGATTTCCCTATGATCAGCCACACAGCATAGAACCTGTCCCTCCCTGAAGCTCATTCCAGTATATCTTTCTGCTCTTTTAAAGTCCCACCATTGGAAATACTTGAAGAAAACACAGTCATATCCCTGCAGATACATTATAACTAAATTTCTCAAGAGTTTTTGAGCACTTGTTGATGTCAATGATTCTTCTACAGGGAATAATTTCACCTGGAGACTGTTACCTCAGAGATAAAATAGAAAGAGAGTATAAATCTGAACATTTCAGGTTATACATAGACAATTTCTAACTAACTCGTTACACTCTGCTCATTAACTGGAGTTGTCACTGCAGCAAAGCAGCTTTAATCTTTCTGCACAAAAAGTTTGGATGAAAGTGGAAGACAGCAAACAGACAAATAAGAGAAACCAACCCACCGGGTAAGAAAAATGTTACTGAGTAAAATAATGACTGTTTTATTGGCATGTTATTCCTTCCAGAGGATAGGTGAAGGAGGCAGAAATGGTACTGTAACCGGTCCTTTGACTTTTGCTGGTAGCCAAATACTGCCCATTTCATAACTAGCTAATACAACGGATTAAACGGATAACCTATTTATCTGATGTGGCATATCCTGCATCTTCAGAGTCATGATGTAATCCACAGTGGCAAATTCTATAGGATTTAAGAATCCTGGTATCCTACTTAGGACTTAAAATAACCCATACTTTGACCTTCTGTTTATTTTGGCTAGCATTTCTGCACTGCCACGAAGCCAAGTTCTTTCAATTGGAAAACAAAACTTAGGTTTCTGGAACACGGGACTCCCACGTACCAGACCTCACACGCACAGAAGAGATGCAGCATCAAAATAAAGCATTTGTCCTGAACTAGTAATTATTAAGTCTGGTCAGATCCAAGAGCCTTATTTCCCCAACAGTCACAAAAAGGACTCCCTTGCTTTATAATTTCTCAAGGGGGAAAAAAAATCTGTAAATCAGCAAAGACTTTAATGTTCGGAGACGGAACAGACGTAAGAGGTGCCAAAGCCAGAATGTCCTCCTGTGGAAACACAGGGGTTTAAAGGGATATCAGCATTGAGCAGAAAAGGAAGAAATCCATGAGAGAGACAGCAAAAGGGGCACGAAATGGTCTCCTTGCCTGCCCATGCCTGCCACTGTCACCCAAATCAACTCATTTTCTTTCAGGTGTCCTGGAAGGCTCTTGCCTTGCACAAACAATGACGTAACAACAATTCACCCCCAAAAAGCGAATGTGTTTTGGGAAGAAGGCATTTTAATAATAAAGCAAACTGAACTAAGGTCAGACATAGTCCTTGCCCTTCATTCGCTTCACAACGATTACTAAGAGAATTAATATTGAAGGTCCAAAGTACTAGAAGGACAAAAAAGCAGCAGTACTAGCAGACCATAACAGAGTTAAAAGCTACAACGAAGGAGATCCAAGAAGAAACTAAACATGCTGAGAAAGAGTTTGGTGCCGCTGGCTGCAATTATGGAAAACAAACTATGAATGGTAGAGGTGAAGTTGCAGAACCTAGTTTATAACTTCGCTCATGCTAACAGGTGGAGTTTTACCTCAAGATTTTTAGTAAATGAGCATGTTGTCAGACTTATGATTAAAATACAGTAATAAATGTACATTCCTTTTGTCTCTTTAGCCCTCTCTAAAGTAAAAAAAAAAACCAAACCCAAAAAAACAAAACTGGCAAAGCCAAAGTTAAACTGTAAAGCCTTCTCGCTCCAATGAAAACAAAATTATTGCAACCACACACAAGCTTCAGCACACAAGCTTGCCGTTTCGGCACATTGCCCTCAGAACCCTCTTTGAACACGCAGTGAGAGGCTGATGCAGGATTATACCAAGAACTCGCACTCTCAGCAGCATTCCTTTGCTAGCACCTTCTGCTGCTGCCAACTGCCTGCTCCTCAAACTCACAAGAGGCTTTCTTTTTTTTTTCTTACTCCTGCTTTTTAACACTCAGATCACCTCACAACTCAATCTGGTTTGCTGGATATGTTTCTGTAT